CACACACACACACACACACACACACACACACACACACACACACACACACACACACACACGCGCACACACACACACACTCACATCATATTACTCTTGAAAGACTTGCTTGAAGATCTTTACTCAGATCTCATGAATGATTCTCATCACACACAGATGTTCAACATCATCATCTGTTTTGGTTGGGCATGATGATGACAATCCAGAGGCTGTTTACATGAGCTCAATGAGTTAACATGAGACACTTCAATGCCTCAACATGAGATATATTTATTATTAGTACAGTCCACATTATGATAGTTAAATATAGAAGGGATTGTATACAGCAGCAGTTCTCAAACTTTTCAGGCCAATTATCACATCTGATCAAATCACACCATCCAAGTATCACCTAGTCACCATTTTACTTATCAGTCTCCCGCACTGTCAATGTAAGAACGTAGGCTAAATATTAGAAACACAAAAATATAATAGGATTCACTCAAAAATGAAAATTATGTAATTATTTACTCAACCATTTGTTTTTCCAAACCCATATATCTTTCTTTCTTTCATAGAGCAAAAAAGGAGATAATTTCAATTTGTTGCTCTTTTCCATACAATGATCTGGTACGTCAATGTAAGAACGTAGGCTAAATATTAGAAACACAAAAATATAATAGGATTCACTCAAAAATGAAAATTATGTAATTATTTACTCAACCATTTGTTTTTCCAAACCCATATATCTTTCTTTCTTTCATAGAGCAAAAAAGAAGATAATTTCAATTTGTTGCTCTTTTCCATACAATGATCACTGTTCTAAAAAAGACAAAAAGCACTCTAAAAATATCATAAAAGTAGTCCATGCAAGTAGTGTGCTACATTCCAAGCCTACTGAAGAAATGCGATAGGCTTATGACCAGGTTTATGACCAAAGTCATTATTTGTAAAAAAAAAAAATAAATAAATAAAAATAAAAAAGCCTTTTTGTAGCTCTCAAAGTTAACCATTTGTGTGCCAAGAAGAAAGAAAGACAAAGACAAAGACGATGTTAGTAGGTAAATAAGGGCAGAACTTTTGTTTTTGGGTGAACTGATTAGAAATTAGAAACAAAATATTTGGGGGAAGTGAAAAAAAAAATCTGTTTAAATAAATTTGCGTCGCATACACATGCTGCTACACTACATCTACACTAAGCACTAATAAGGAGTTCTTACATGCACAATAAACCCATAAACATATTTAATAACTATAATATCAGCAATGAAAATGTGTACTGCTTTTGAAATAGTCTTCTATGAATATCTAAGGGAAAATAGAGTGCCGCAGTGATTATGTATTTTTGTATGGCAACCTGGAAGTTAGCATCACCCTGGTTCCCTCAACAAAAAACACAAACCTTATTTCACACATACCTTTTTTCCAAAAACCCATTGAATAAACTTCAGGACAATGAAACCGGAAGTGCTAAAGTGCGAACATGTTTACCGGTTTTGGCCTAGAAAAGTACATCATCCCCACAGGAAAAGAGGATTGTGTAGCACTGTTAGTGCATGAACCACAGTTTGAGAACCACTGTTATACAGAAACTAGCAGCAGCAGAAATCTACAGTGCAACAAATGCAAACACCA